CTTAGAAAAGATGATAAATAGAAAAATCAATAAAGAAAAGGAAAATAACACCAGATTATGAAAAGTAAAAGATTTGCATCGATCAAGTTCTTCAAAAGCATTTGGTAAATAAAACAAAATATGTTAAAATTTCTAATCTTTTCTTAAGAAATTCAATCAAAATTAAAAGCTGAAAAGTCAAAAAGAGATTCTAGATGAGATTTGGCATACAATGTATAAAACGAGCAGAGTATAAGCCACGATAATATCAAATTTAAAAACAGCATCTAAATTGCCATGGAAACCGATTTGCCAAAGAAGTGCTAACCGCTTCAACGAAAATTTTATTCGTAAAAAAATTAATTCTATGGCAAGAGATTGTCAGAAATTTATGAATAAGTATATGACTGTTGCAAAAACACTGTTCTGGTTGTCTATGTGGTGTTATAAATGTGATTTTTTTTAGGTTTTACATGAATCTAAATGTGATCATTCGTAAACACGCTTCGTGACAGTTTTCACTCACCTCGATTCTTCACTTTCAGCGAGTATTTCTCGGTTCAAATCCGATTCTTCTGAACTAGGAATCCCTCCACAGCTGCTATCATCACTAAGGGCTCGCTTTGGTTGAGACGCCATTTTTGAGCGTCACGCTCCAACGAAATTTTTCGGAGTCGCCGGTCAAAAACAGAGTCAATAATTACTCGGCGATTCTGAAACGAAGCCAGTGATTGGTTTATTTCTTCCGAAGGCTAGTTATCGATTTTCGTGGCTTTTCGATGAGTTCCGACGATTTTATCCGATTATGACGTCATCAGACGAATTCGTCCGATTTTACTGAGCGTGAACGGGAAAGAGTTAAAGCGTAAAAATGAGAATTCAAAAATACCCATATGATACCCATATAATCTTTGTCTGTCTGTCTGTCTCTCGGTCGATAAACACTAACGGTAAGCCTGGTCTACCTGTGGTTTGGCCGCCATTTTGGAACGAAAACCACGTGATCAAATACTCCTTGGAGTATTTTAGGTCACGTGACCAGCCTTTACCAGGGTCTTCTCCCCGACGACCGCCATTTTGTTTTGGAGTCGGGCCGAGAGGGAACGAGGTTGCCCTCCCCTCTCCTCCCCGGAGAGCCATGTTCACAGGCTCTGGTGTCTTGGAATGTGTTAGTTCAAAAACGAAAAGAAAATAGGGAAAAAGAGGAAGAAGAAAGAAAAAACACATTCGACTTGTAAAACACCAAACCAATTTAATCATGCAACCGTAAAAAGTCTATTATTAGTTTGGAAATAAGATCCAGTAGCAACCCATTCCTCTTATGTTAACATGATAATGTAACGTACATTTAGAAGTCTATTATTAGTTTGGAAATAGAATTACGTAGTAAACCATTCCTTTTACATTAACATAATAATGTAACGTACATTTAGAAGTCTATTATTCGGTTTGGAAATAATATAAAATCACGTAGCAACCCATTCCTCTTACATTAATATAATAATGTAACATTTAGAAGTCTATTATTAGTTTGGAAATAATATAAAATCCCGTAGCAACCTATTCCTCTTATATTAATATAATAATGTAACATTTAGAAGTCTATAATTAGTTTGGAAATAATATAAAATCACGTAGCAACCCATTCCTCTTATAT